TGCATCCGAAGAAGTGGGTTGTAGCCCACGAAAGCTTATGCTCTAATAAATTTGTTAGTCTCTAAGGTGCCACAAGTACTCCTGTTCTTTTTGCGGATACAGACTAACACGACTGCTACTCTGAAAGTAAAGTTAAAGTATTTCACAGGAAACCAGAACATATGCACGCAGGATAAAGTTCTTACTGGTTATGTTTACCTAACATCAGACTTCTGATATTACTAACTGGAGGTTTGGCAGTATTTCTTTGACTAGAAATATTCACAAAAAAATTTATATTCGTATGGATTTTTGCCCACCCGGATTTGCTATTGCCCTGAAGCATCCTAAAGACTGTGTAACTATTTTACATCTGAGAAAAAAAAAAGTTGTTACCTGCTGTGCATCAGCTTCTGACTCAAATGTAATGAACCAATTGTCATTATAGGCAAACTCACAGTTGATAAATTTAGGCAAATTATCTCCCCTGAAGAGTGCTTCAACCTCCTAAGAAAAGGTTGGGGGGGGAATGGATGGGAAAAAAGAAAGGTGAAGTGTAGAACTTTGAATGTGAACTACTGGTAAGAAACAAGAAGAATAAAAATGCTTTTCAGCTTGCTAGACTAAGAACTGAGAGAGATTAAAATACCCGCAGTAATGCTTAATCTTAAAGTTTACTTTTAATATAAAGGAATATGAAATGTTGCATTACAAAGGCCATACTGGAATTTTTCTTCTAAGTACTGTTTAAAAACAGGAGCACAAAGCTATTTAGAGGGCTTTCATTTGAGAATAAATGCAGGATTTCTGTTGTCTCAAAATAGCGGATTTTGGCAGCACAGAAGCAAAAATACTTTTCAATGTCAATTTATAAATTGTACTGCCTAAAGTACAGAATATTCCATTCTCTTTTATTCATAGAACCAAAAGCCAAGTAATATCCAGAACCATGATGTGACTCTGAAGACCTGACAGCGGCTTTGAACATTTTGGTCAGACTTTGTACAATTTTCCATTACGCTAGAAAATGTATGCAATTAACATCTACTGTAGTTTCTACAGTGTTTAGCTACACTATGCACTTGGCTTCTGACAGGTCTTGGCCATTTTTAAAGCCAGTGGTTCACACAGCTATTTTGCAAGTGTTCAAGGCAGATCAGCTATAGAGTTCCAGCATCAATACATCTTATGATAATCTGCAAATGGGTGACAGGGGGAAAACATCCATGTAAGAACTTTGTACGCACATGAAAGGTCTCTCTTCACTAACTACTTTGAAAGTTAAAATAGCTGGCCTATTGAAAGGAAGACTTGCCATATCTTCTGTTTATTTTAAAGTCCATTGTTATTTCCTATTACTTTTTCCTTCAGTAATATAATACATTTCATTCCTTTCAACATGAATTTTTCTTGTACATTTTTATTCCTATGCTTTCCCATCCTGTGTTAAGTCTCTCTGCCTCCTTCTTGCTCCCCAAAATGAAGTAGTTAAGGATCCCTCTGCTGCTCCATCTTCTTTCTACTATCTCAAGTCCAATCTGCTTCAAAGATATGCACTGAATTCCTTCATTATTCAGGCATAGGGAAACACTTCCCCCTTGTTCCCCCTCCCTCCAATGTTTTTCTTCAAGTTCCATAATTAGTGATCCACTGGACCACTAACACTCCTTCCAACAAACTAGTGTATATTAAGCTGATTGCCTCAGTGCTACAGAAAAGCTTCTGACGCTTGAAGTCACTCACAAGGACGGGCTTCCAGCTTCACCAGTGACTTTTTCTGTTAGAAGTTTTTCCTTTTCACAATTTCATCCATTTACTAGTTTTGCCCCAGAGCAAAGAGGCTGGAACATATTGTAAAGAAGGCAAGCAGAGAGTATTTTAAGGGAGGGAGATTCTAAGCTGAGGAAGGCCATAGAGAAGTACTCTGCTGATCTATTGTGGAGGCATGGTCACCTGCCTAACCTGAATAGGTCCCTAGTGTAAGGGACCTACGTGGTTCTGTAGAGGGAGACCAGCATTTAAACCTATTTATAAGAATTTCTGTATGGTCTCAATAGCAGTTTGAGTGCTTTAGCCCTTTACAAAAGTTCATGTGAAACACATGTCTTACTGTAATGTTCTTGAAACGATGCATTTCTACAGAGAAACACCACAGATCATTCTAATGGACTTTGGTTTATAAAGTCTAGCAATCTCATTAGAAATGTTAAAAAGTAGGTTAAATCCCATATTCTTATTATCAACTGGAGAATGCTAATTCCTGAGTCAAGAGGGTGAAGCATTATTTGTTTTATGGAACTACAATATCCTTACTTCAATGGGTGTAGATTCAGGTACTTCACGTAAAATCACAATGCAACGATTCTGATTTGGCCTGACTTTCTCTCCCTTCTCATCCACTTGGACTAAAGGCAATGCTAAGAGGAAAGGAAAAAAAATCTGGTTTTAGAAAACAGTAAGTGAAGCAGTTTTACACTCTGAAAGTGCTAGTCACTTAAGGTCTGCGTGCACTGTTTACATAAACCTGTTTTTAAACAATTTTGATCCTGTTTGTGTAAAGGGTCATAGTGTAAAATGTGGTTACTTTCCAAACATTTTAAACATGCTCATTGTCACAGTATAGACAGACCCTTAATCTAATTAAAACTGCACTAGCAACCATGAAATTCTGTTTAAGGCACTGAAATATGAATGTGCTAGCATTAGATGAAAGGCTGAACATTCGTTAATTTTCAATAGTTTTAAGTGGCCTTATTTAAGTTGCAAATATTTAGTATGTCCTAAAGCATTTAGTATGAACTACAAAATGCTGTCAAAATACACCATTTACTTACATCTCAGCACTTCCACAATCAAATCCATATCAGTACTGAGTTTCTTGACATGATCAAGGTTTGCTACTGTCATTATTGGCACATACTGATCACTGTCCATCTGTGATATAAGGTACATGTCACTGGCAAGATTCTCTCTGTTGGAAGGAAAAATAAGTGGTTAATCCCGGTTTCCCATTAAATTCATCATGTGCAAAAAGGATTATTTGCAAAGACAAAAAACTCCCACAGTGGAATGTTATAGCCATCTCCATAAAGTAGGAAGTACCAGATTCTTACAGCATCCTTTATCTTGAGAGAATATTTTCACTCATTTTCCCATCAGAACCACTCAGCACCATTATTTTGCTGTTCCACTTCAAACAAATTGTTAGAATTACCACCGGCCATTAGCCATTTCACTGCTACAAATTGTGCTGGCATTCTTGGAAGAGGCAAGTGATCCATCTTCCTGAATATGGAAGGTCCTGAAAATTCCACTATTTCAATGGACGGTCAATTTTCAGTGGATGTTAACTTTAAGTGGTAACACAGGAGTTCAAGGGTTAACATCTTGTATTAGTTTTGTAACCATGTAGGATGAAAGGAATTATTTACTTCATCTCAAATACAGATGCATAGGCAGAATGCACAAGCATATCAAAGCCCTCTGGTACAGAAACAAACCACCTTATGAATTGTATTTGATTTATTTCATAGTAGTTTCACTATCCTCTTCACTACCTTTTTTGTGAATTTAGGTTAAGTAGTACAAAGATATGACGAATAAAACTGGGTTATGAATTTCAGAACAGTAGATTCATGAATTTTAGAGGCCAGAAGCAACTCCTGTTGACCTCCTGCATAAAACACAGGCCGCAGCACCTGATCCAGTAATTTCTGCACTGAATCCATTGTTTCCGTTTGAGCTACAGAATGTATCAGTAGCATTACATGCTGGACTTTTTCTATGGATCATTTCCTCTAATATTGCTATTCCTTTCCACTAAGTTTTTACTTTTGGAAGATAGAGATCTCATCACGTCTTGGGGATAGAAAATAATATATAACAGGATCCTAACTATCCTACGATGTCCCATATTTACGTATTATTATACATACCTAGATAAGCAGAACTCCAGTGTTTTTTTAAGCACTTCTCGTAGGTCTTCCTGACCTTCTGGCTGCAATTGGTCATTTCCTCCTAAGTATGGAAGATGTACAGTTGTATGATTAAATCGAATAGAAACAGTGAAATCTAAAAGTGAATTCTGCCAGAAAGTACTAAAAGTAACTTCTTCAAAATGTCATACCCAGGGTCTCCTGTTGCCTACACTTTCAACATTAATAAGACTCGAACACTAAATAAATACTAAAAAAAAAAAAACACTACCAATCAGAAAAGTAAGGAATAAATAATCCCTACATCAGGAATATAAAAGATTAATAAGGCAACGTGTCTGGATGTCATCTAAGTCTCTCATTGTGCCCACAAGCAGTTGGAAGAGCTTTAGAGAAGAGCTGGAAGTATATGGTAAGGTATCAGGTTTCAGAGTGGTAGCCGTGTTAGTCTGTATCAGCAAAAACGAGGAGTCCTTGTGGCACCTTCGAGACTAACATTTATTTGGGCATGAGCTTTCGCTAGATGAAGTGGGTTCTAGCCCACGAAATCTTATGCCCAAATAAATTTGTTAGTTTAAGGTGCCACAAGGACTCCTAGTTTTTTTTTTTATGGTAAGGTATGTAAATACTTGAGAGGGGAAAACATAAAATCAAATCCAACTATCACACTTACACAACTGAAAAGAAACTTAAGTAAATTCAAGGTTGAGTAACCCCTTGCAAATAGGAAGAAAGCAGTGCAGTGAAGTACCAGCAGTTCTCAAACTGTGGGTTGGGACCCCAAGGTGGGTCATGACACTGTTTCAATGGGATTGCCAGGGAGGGCGTTAGACTTGCTGGGGCCCAGGCCCGAAGCCAAAGCCCGAGCCCCACCACCCCCGGGCGGGGGGCCTGTAATCCGAACCCAGCCACCCAGAGCTGAAGCCCAAGCCCCACGGTGAAGCCAAAGCCTGAGGGCTTCAGCCCTGGGCGGCAGGGCTCAAGTTACAGGTCCCCTGCCCGGATTGAAGCTCTTGGGCTTCGGCTTTTCCCCTCCCACCCCCACGGGGTGGCAGGGCTCGGGCCGGCTCAGGCTTCGGTGCCCTCTTCTGAGATCATGTAGTATTTTTTTTTGTCAGAAGGGGGCCGAGGTCCAATGAAGTTTGGTGAAAATGGATCAGTTCTCAATACCCTCCTCACCACCGTGTTCCAAATTCACAAACACTACAACTCCAAAGGAAAGATGTAGTTGTTGTAGCTCAAACCACAATTTTACAGTACCATTTTTGTAAACGTAATTGATTTACAAATGGTTACAGCCACATCTGATCAGCCAATATATTTTCCCCCTCGTTTTAAAACGTTACGTTTGTGTCTCCTAGACCAGGAATGTCAAACTCTGTCAAGAAGATCAAATTCCATTTCTAATTATTGCCCTTTGGCTAGTGTACAAGTTTAGGACTACATACAACAATCACTCTAGAGTGAAGTCTCCCAATGAGGTCAATGGCAGGTATGTACAAAGACCAAACATGCTATAAATTAAATGTTCAGTTACTATTTACTGCCTGTTTAGTAATCTTCTATTCAGCTGAAAAATATGCTCATCTCTAGAACCCACCACCATTATTACAGTCTTGTTTTTCTTCCTTCACCTTTACCCATTTCTCTTCACTTTCCTTCCCCCCATCCCTGAAGCTGTTAGTTGTTATGCCACTAAACAGTCAAAACTGGACTCTATTCCTGACACTATGCTATATAATCATTATAATATATACTTAAAAAAAAAGAGCTAGTTAACAGTAAGCATAGCAAGACCCTGCTGCAGTAGTCTGAAAACTTTACTAAAAACAGACCACTACAAAGTTTGGTAATTTACAGCTTCATTAAGAAGCTTGTAACAAGGGGGACTCAGAAGAATGTGTGTGAAACAGTTTCATAAGACAAACAAAAGAGGATAAGCAACACATTAGGAGAAGTGAAAAATTCATATTTTTAAAAAGTCTTTATACCAACTAATATTGTCTTTTGCGTCACACAAGCATTAGACACTTATTAGCTCACCTACCTACACTTATTGTAGATATTTAACACCCACAAAATGCAGTATTGTACAAGAACCATGTTTATATTGACAGGTTTCAGAGTAGCAGCCATGTTAGTCTGTATCCGCAAAAAGAACAGGAGTACTTGTGGCACCTTAGGGCTGGTCCACACTACCCGCCCAATTCGGCGGGTAGAGATCGATCTTCTGGGATCGATTTATCGCGTCTCATCTGGACGCAATAGATCGATCCCAGAAGCGCTCCCCCGTCGACTGCGGAACTCCTGCTCGCCGAGAGGAGGAAGCGCTGTCGACGGGGGAGCCTGCCTGTGCCGCGTGGACCCGAAGTAAGTACTTTTAGTTCGATATAGGAAACGTCGACTTTAGCTACGCTATTCTCGTAGCTGAAGTTGCGTTTCCTATATCGATCCCCCGCCCCAGTGTGGACCAGCCCTTAGAGACTAACAAATTTATTAGAGCATAAGCTTTCGTGGGCTACAGCCCACTTCTTCGGATGCATATAGAGTGGAACATATATTGAGGAGATATATACATATATATACACACACACACACACACACACACACACACACACACACACACAGCATGAACAGGTGGGAGTTGTCTTACCAACTCTGAGAGGTCAATTAAGTAAGAGGAAAAAAAACTTTTGAAGTGATAATCAAGATAGCCCAGTACAGACAGTTTGATAAGAAGTGTGAGAATACTTACAAGGGGAGA